AAATGAACTCACTTTAATTAAGTTAATAATATAATAATAAATTAATTAAATATTAATAAAATTAGAATTTAAAGCTTAAATTTTAATTATAATTTAACAAATAATTATAATTACAAACTTATAAGTTAATATAAACTTAATAGAAAAGAATAATTAGGAATTTGTGAGAAATTAAACGAAATTTTAACTAAATTGGGATTAAAATTAAAATAAAATGATTAAATAATATATATTCTATATTTTCTATAAGGTATAATAAGAATTTATACTATAAAATTATATTCTTCCATTAAAAAATAATATATTATTCTATAATAAGATAGTGATTAAAGTATTTTTAATAATTTTCTATACCGAATTGCTTTTATATAATATTAATAAGACCATCAAATTTAGGAATGAAAAATGACAAAAGATGCAAGTTAAGGCTTGGGTAATGTAATATATTATAGCAATATTTTAGAAGGGACTGAGTAAATGGTAATTGCCTGTCAGTTAAGACTGCAAAAGGCACGAAACAATCTAGGCCTGCTATAATGAAATAAATTACAAGAGCAACCAACTTTTCACATTAACTTTGCCGCTGTACAATGAACAAGAAGGAAAATATCAAAGCTTTACAAGACCTATGACGTAACAAATTATCACCCCCAATTTAATGGTAAAATCATTCAAATTTACTACTAATAGGTAAGGACGTTTCACCCTCTTTTTTTAAATATGTAATCAATGTTAGATGAGGCCCTTAAAGTTAAGGCCTACTAGGCCTTCTGGTGTTTAATTTATGCACGCTTTTAAGGTTTTTATGATCTTAAATGCGCTAATTTTTTGCTTATATAAAAACGTTTTTAATATAGTAAGCGATTCTACTTTAATTTAACACGTAAAGTCGTTGAATAATTCCCTTTTTAAACTAACCATTCTATAGCCATTTTTCTTAACATTACGATTTATAAATCAATTTAAGATTTTAATTAACATAAATAGGCCTAAATTAAATTATAATTAAGTAAATAATTAGTCATTTTTGTATAAGAATCTTTACTTACCGGGATGCCTGTATTGCAAGTAACGTGCATAACGCCACGGGTAAGATAAGTGATGACGTGATAATAAAAATGGCGTAATTGTCTGTAATTGTCCAAATGATGAATTTCGTAAGTTCTGAGATTGATATAAACTACGAGACAAACCATAAGAGTCCGGGCATTGTACGGGATAGAAGCCACTATGAGCGAGTACTGGTCTTGCAACAGTGGGTCTGACTACAGCTTGTTCATTTTGGTTATCGGAAGATGTTGAATCATCTTGAATATTTTTCTCTTCTCCAACGATCGAGTCTATAGAAAAACCTAATTTAGGTTTAATATTCGATACTTCTGGTGCCATTCTACTTGTCACATTGCAATGTTTACTTTATGATACAGTTAATGATTTTTTATGTGTTCTTATAGGCCTAATTTAAAGTAGAACAGAAATTGTACACTGGCTTATGAATATCTGTCGATGCCATAAATCCACAAATGTTTTCAACTATGTATTTACAACCTACAATTAGGCATTGACTTGACTAGCTCCGTTGTCTACCTTGAGGCACTCGACGTGCATCGCACCGGCCGACACATGCTGCCCCCTTGTGTTAAAAGACTGCGTATACTACGTCATGAATTCTCACCCTCTCTCTCTCTCTTCTGTCGTTCATTTTTTAAACATTATTATAATTATTTTAATTCGAAAATATGTGCCTAACTCTCTGTGATTTGCTATTCTTTTAATGCGCTTCTATACGCATTGTTGTGAAGTACAATTTAAATTTTTGTCTGTAATAAAGAAAATTTTCTCTATAATTTTTTAAAAATTATTTAGGCAAATATATTATAAAAATAATAATAATAAACAAAAAAATGGTTGTATGTCTTAAAGAATAGCTTAAAATTACACCAGTTTTTAAATATGTGTTTTTAGAAAGTTTACACCATCCTTAAAGTTTAATTATATTTATTATCACATTTAAATTAAAATCAAGGTTAAAATTAAATGTAAATACCAATTAAATTTCTCAATTAAAGAGACTTTAAAGTAAAAGAATAAGTAGCAAACCCTTACCTTCAGAAAATGGCAATTAATTAATTACCGTTTTTCTGATGGTAAATATTACAAATTTACGAAAAATTTGATCTTATTTCTATTGATAGAATGGGATAATCTACATTAAACTCACGCATACACATACAAACACACTCTACGAACTAAGCAATACATACGAAGTTACTTCTCATAAAAATCATAGGAGGAAGTATCATAGTTCGTATCAAATCCGTAACATTATTTCTTGTCATCTTTACAACATCCGTAGACAGTCTCGTATTCATAAATAAAGATGTGAACAATGCTGGATCCCCGGGTCATTGAACTACATTTATTCTCATGAAATTCTTAGCTAAGTTAAGTTAATTATATGTTTTTAAATAGCTTAAAAACTCTATTTTTCAATTACATAATTATAATTTTTATATGCATTTATAAATTCAATTTTTTATCCATTTAATTCTCTCATCTCATACATTTTCTCCTTGTAAACTTAGCGTATATCGGACAAATCTTATCATTTTACTCCATCAAAATGGCTTAAAAAATGTAAATAATTATTTTAAAAAAATAATTAAAATAATAATATTTATTCTCTTAAAAATAATTTAAATATAATTTTATTTAATTAATTCTTAAATAATTTTTATTTATATTTTTTTTTTAATTAGCGAATTTGTAGGCCTTGTTTGGAATATAATTAAATAGGACTTTAAGAATAATGTTTACATATAAATAAATATATACAACTTTAATTAAGTTAATAATATAATAATAAATTAATTAAATATTAATAAAATTAGAATTTAAAGCTTAAATTTTAATTATAATTTAACAAATAATTATAATTACAAACTTATAAGTTAATATAAACTTAATAGAAAAGAATAATTAGGAATTTGTGAGAAATTAAACGAAATTTTAACTAAATTGGGATTAAAATTAAAATAAAATGATTAAATAATATATNTAAGTTTCTTAACGTAACTAAAGTTTAAAAATACAATTTATATTAAAAAAATTCATGAAATTTTCAAAACTTCATTGAATTAAATTGTAATTTAAATATTAAACTTCATATTTTAATAATTATATTAATGTAATTTTAATTAGTTTTAACTGCTTAAAATACTTATTTTATTAAAATTTATGGTGTAAAGTTTAATTTAAACAACATTAAAGCAATCTTTTCAAAGTTAAATGTGCTTAAATAGTCAATTAAAATTTTATAAGATAAATTTTTATAAGAAAAAAAATTTATAGACTTATAAAACTTAAATGTGCTGCTTTAAAAGGGAAGAAAAATGATTCCTTTCTGATAGAAAGTCTCTTTGAAAATATGACGATCTTTTAAAATGATAGCAAAGTAGAATCTTCAAGCATAAACTTTTGTAACATTTTCAAGACCCAATTCTTTAAATTTCTTTTTTATTTTTAATTTTTTAAATGTAATATTACAGTATTATATTACAATAGTTACTTTTAAAAGATGCTTTTAAACATCATTTTTATAAGATAAATATTTTTCAACAATTTCCCATTTTGAAACTTTTATTTCGAAATAAAATTATTAATTACGGCGTAAAAGGAACATCAAAATTTTCTTTTATAATACATACGGCTCAAAAGTCAGTTAAACACTATAAAAACAACGAGAGATACAATAAGAAAAAATTTCTCAGTCTTTCGCTATAAAAAAACCAGTCAAAACTTTAATAATCAATAATAATTTCGCTAAAATTTTATTAAAATATTAATTAATTTTACGTAATTTACATAAACACTGCCTTATTTTGTACCGAAATTTGTAGTACATTATCATTTTTTTTTTTTTTTTTTTGTAAAAAGATTTTGCTCTATAAATATATTTTTATAATGATAAAAATGTGTATTTAATTCATTAAATTTGTTCATTTATTTAAGATTTTGCAGCAAGAATTTGGATTAATTAATTGAATTTTCTTTTTTTTTTGTGGTACAATGTGAATTTTAATTAAAAATTTAGTAATATTTTGAATTTTATGTAAGTAAAATTAGAATTTTTCTGTACTTGAACGTCCAATTTTTAATTTTTTTTTAAATAAAAATTATTGATTTTTTTAAAATTTTGTTATAAAAAATTAACAATGTTTAATTCGGTTTTCTTTTCTTTCTTTCTTTCTTATTTTTTTCATATTTTGAGCCATAAAATCAGCAATTTTAAACAGAAAAATAGAAAAAAATGTTAAGAATTTTAGTTTTTTAAATATTTTTAATTGATTTTTTTTGTTTCTCATAATAGTTGTTGCTATTACGTTTTATATTGGAAGAAGAGTGATAATTCTTATTTATATATGAAGAGCGAGAGATTAGTTGATAAATAAGTGCACGTATTATGCAGGAAAGTGACCAGAAAGAGCAACAAACAATAGTAACCGTCAGCGGATTTGATTGGATTTACAAGCAATAGGTGTAAGGCCAACAAGAGAAAAAAGGTCAAATAAAAAGTCCAGTGGTAGATATAACACCTCTCAAGAAACCAACCAATGAGAAACCAGAAACAGATCGAAAAAACATCCACAGATACAAGTCGTGTGTAGAATCAGATACAAATCAACCGTTAGGGGATTAAAGACCCATATTGCTATTTTGTTTCTTAAGCCGAATACCGACAGACGTTCCAATTGAAACGTCAAGATAGAGGCAAACAAGTAAAGCAAACTGCACAGGAGGTTGGGGTATCTGTGACTGACTACTGACCTCATGCTGGGGTCACAGATACGACAGGACACCCCCTGCTAGTAAGGGGGGCCGAACCCCTTAAAACGAGAAAACGATGGAGTCTAGTCCTTTGTACTATAACCTATTGATGGGCATAGCTGCATATCGGTCTAACACTATAGACGACAATGGTTATACAGAGATGCATAGTTAGTCTTCCCTTCTGAACACACGTTCACAACTGGACAAGAGTTATAGTGAGGTCTCAATCAGTCGCCATTATGGTTTGTGAATAGCCCTAGTTTATAGGAAGCTGTGTCCCTCGATACTGCGTGTAACTGTCATCCATTAATGGCTAGTATTTCGTTTTCTATTCTTAAAATAACCTTCCCACCTTCACATGTGATTTATTATAGTCAATCTGCTAACTTTACACCGTGATTTAGGCTTAAATGTCGGTTTGATAGGTGATGCATTGTGGGTAAGGACACTATCAACTACTATTGTATTCGCAGCAGGAGTTCGATACTATCCGACATGCTGCACTTCACACAGCATGTCGGATAACTTCTATCAATAATAGCCCTTTCATTGCTTATTTTCTTTCAGACTATTTATTTACTTGTTTTTTTACATTTAAAAATGCCAGAACCAATCAGAATTTCGACGTTAAATCGTTATTTTTCGCTAAAAATCTGTCAAAGTGGTTTGCATTCTCACGTCAGTTCTAGCAAAAATCTATAGAATTGTCACACCTTATATTGTAAAGTACCGGTATATGTTTTTGAATCTATACAAGACCTTCTATATTTAGATTTCATTCATAAGAAGGAATAACAGCTGATAGTTAAATAGAAATACAAAGGTTAATTTTAGTATAAAATGTTTAAAATCTTTTATATATTTTATAACTGTGTGTTATAGCTCTGTACAGGAATTATACGCGTAATGAAGTTAATATGAATGAATTTGTGCGTATTTATTAACAAAAGTCATTAATTTTGGGAGCATTTCACAGCTCTTATACAATAAATAACCAAATAAAGCCAAACCTCTGAACAACAGTCACCTAAGGAAAATGGCCGTTGTTTGGAGGTCCGATATAACATTAAAAACTTGATTACAATTAATTAACATAATAAAAAAAATAATTAATCGAGTTTTATTATAAACTCTAATATAAATATAATTTTTCTTATAGATCAATTATGATATAAATCATAAGTGTTTAAGAGAAATGTCTAAAATGGAAAGCATCCCGGGGGAGCATCAATCAGTCGATAACTTTTGGGGTTCTCTTCTCAACTGGTATGATTCGTTCCTCATGTCTGTAATTGGCTCATGTATTGGCGGATAATTGACAGAATAATTATGCGTCCCCCGTGTGCTGTTGCTGTACAAAACCTCACAGCTCTCTTGTGGCTTTAGGGGTGATGCTATGGCTAAAACCAATAAGAATACCAAATTCTTCGCTATACAAAGGGCTTTAGTGTTGTCGGGTGTTTATGTAATAATCATTTAAAGTGTTATAAAGATAATTAAACTAGTTGCTGATCCCAAAACTTAATTATAATAAGTAGATAATGGTGTTGATGAAGTGTTAATATGGTCAAAAATAATTTAAAAATTCACTTATAATTATACTGTTTATTTATATATTTTACAAATTATATGGATAATTAATTGTATATGTTATAATCATATATAATTAGTGTTTATAACGAATAGCTTAAAAGTAAATTAAATTATTAATTATAATTAATTTATATAAGTATAAACAATGATTTTATGTTGTTTAAACTTATTGGATAATAATAAACAGTGATTTTATGATTATTTTTGACACATTGACGTATTAATAAACTGTAAAATGGTGTATAAATGTTTAATAAATAATCATTAAATTTAAGTATTTTGTTCTAAAAATTTTTCTTAATTATTTAATTATTCTCTTGATAAGGGGTCTAATTAA